ACAACAATTTCGATATTAATATGAGCTTGAGCCGTTGTGAACATTTTGCGGCCTCTGAATTGATTGTGAAATGTAACATGATGTACTTTAGTTACTACCTACAGGATTGCCCTTGCTCATTGCTATGAGCCTTGATCGAAAAAAGGCAGCGTCGATATCTATGTGCCCGTGCGTGTGCCGCCTCCAAAAATATGGGGCCCAGATTCATGAGCAGACGCGGAGTGACTGGGGAAAGGGAAAGCCTTGCTCCAACTTGGTGACCAAGGCTAGACATGCGCTTTCTCACGATAGGCAGGTGTATAAAAGGCGGCTGCTTTCCTTCCTCCCTCCTTTCCTTCTCCACACAATTCCCACCCCCCAAATTTCCAGATCTGCATCAAAGATCGATCTTGCAGGCCTGAGCTGCTCCAAAGTTGATCGACCATGAGCTGATGACTTATTGTTGTGCAATTGAGCCAAAGACTAGTGCATGGATGTCCTGTTTTGGGCCCGTCGTTCTCTTTGGGGTTCACAGAAAAGACTCAGTAGTCGCCAATGTGCCGTTCTACGGCGTGATCTCATGGGTTTCAAATACCACATTTTTGAGTAAAAATACAAGTATGTTGTTGGAAGAGTCTAGCCAGACTCGCTACGGTCAGAGCTTTTGAGCATAACTTTATGGTAGCGCACCGTGATGTGCAATTCGTCTCACAGGCGGGACAGATTGGTACAAGCGTACTATGAAGAACACTGCGGTGGCCGAAATCCGGGGTATATCGATAACTGGTGGGGTGTGATCCGAGCGTTATGGCTGTTGACATGCTCTGTCATGACCGGATTACCAAATTTATTAGATGTGTTTTGTAAGAACAGAAAGTGACCACGGTCAACAGATAAACAGCAGTGGATATACTCTACGCATTTTCGGATAGTTGTAGCGTAATGCTTTCTAGACTTCTCATCCTGAGTGGTGTCTAGGGAGCACGTTCTCCCTCGTAATGACTCGTTAGACGTGTCTAGACATATCTGAGCTGTGTGGCAAATAGTATACCAGGGAACTCTCGCACTCGTCTCGACTTCGGTGGAACCGGAAATACTTTTGTCATCAAGTCTGGAGCCTCCGCTGTTGGCCGTAGTGCGACGGCTTGGCAAGGCTGCACGAACAGCGGGCGGCAAGTCTACCGCATCGGTAAGGCACATGGATATGATGGAGCTAGGGAAGTTGCATCCCGCTTTCTGTTGGAGTCAAACATTGGGGTGGAATAAATGCCAACAGGTGAGAATTGGAGAGCGTCGTAACTTGAGAGCCGTAGGGCTCGACCGCCACAACGAAACGTGCTAGTGCGAGTCCCTGATCTTCGGGCTGCATGTCCGCGGCTCTGAACCGTTGGGCATGTCGCGAGCCATGGTTGGCTATGAGAAGGCGGTCAGCGCGCCTGTCCCAGACTCGCCACATATAGATGGCCTTTTGCAACGTGGGCTGTGACATGGGCTCCGGTCGACGACAGTGTCTCTGCCCGTCATTGCAACGAGAAGACGGAGGGGCAATCGGCCAGCGACGGACAATAACTGGAGAAATTCCGGCGATTGTGAAAACTCTGGCCATGTGTGGGCGATTGTGAAGTCATGGGCAATACGGCGAAGGCGAAGTGTCCCGGATGCTGAACGCAGGGGCCAGCGCACGCTAATCTTATCGGCTTACGCCCGCCCTGGGCCAAAAAATTCCTCAAAGCGAGGCAGCCCACCATAGAGATAAAAAGCCCCTCCACAACCTCGCAAAGCGCTCTCTCTCTCCACTTACTCTCCCTCTGGGCTGACCCAAAGTACCTTCCCTTCTTTGTGTAGTTGTGCCAGGTAGCATAGAGTTGCGAGTCACGTTCTTCGCGGCTGTGTTTGATACCCCCGATAGATTCACTCTATCTTTTCACGCCAAAAGTTTTTTAGGCCCCGCCGCCTTTGTCCATATAAGGACCGTCGCCCCTCCTCCCAACCCGACCCTTTTCACACATCCCCCCTCACACATCTTCGACAACATGGCGCCTGCTGCTTCGCACGATGCCAAGGACGTCAAGTCCGAAAACTCAAAGTCGCTCAAGGCGCTTGAGGAGATGATGCAGAAGTTGACCATGTCCAAGGCCCAGGACGAGATCAACGCCTCTGCTCAGGCCATCGCCACCTTCATCAATGGCGACATTGAGGAGGCTGATGCTCCCACCAAGTAAGTCTAGACTTTGCCCCTCCCCCACTACAACACAATTTCTAACAATTCGCCCAGGGCTGTCCAGGTGCTGAAGAAGCAACTCGCCAGCAAGAAGGATGCCGTCGCCCGCGAGCGTGCGCTCGATGCCATCCGTGCCATCGCCCAGCACTCGCACGTCTCCGCCTCTGTCGAGCCCTACCTCGTTTCCCTCCTGCCGGACGTGCTGGCCGCGGTCGGTGACAAGATGAGCGGTGTCAAGGTCGCTGCCCAGACGGCGGCCGAGTCCATCGTTCAGGCTGCGAACCCCAACGCCGTCAAGGCCATTATCCCCCACATCATCCACTCGCTGGAGAACGCACAAAAGTGGCCAGAGAAGATGACCGACCTCAAGTGCATCGAGGTCCTCACCAAGAGCGCACCCGCACAGATGGCTTTCCGTGTCCCCGACCTGATTCCCGTCATCTCGGGAGCCATGTGGGATACCAAGCCTGAAGTCAAGAAGGCTGCTTACGGCACCATGGAGACTCTTTGCTCCTTGATCTCCAACAAGGATATCGAGCGCTTCATTCCCGAGCTCATCAAGTGTATCGCTAAGCCCGAGAACGTCCCCGAGACTGTTCACTTGCTCGGTGCCACCACTTTCGTCACTGACGTCCACGAGCCCACTCTTGCCATCATGGTTCCCCTGCTTGAGCGTGGTCTTGTCGAGCGCGAGACTGCCATCAAGCGTAAGTCTGCCGTCATTATCGACAACATGTGCAAGCTTGTCGAGGACCCCCAGATTGTTGCCGCTTTCTTGCCCCGTCTGATGCCGGCGCTTGAGAAGAACCACGACAACTTGGCTGACCCCGAGGCCCGTGAGAAGACCCGTCAAGGTCTCGACACCCTCATCCGTGTCGGTCACGTCGAGAACGGCAAGATCCCCGAGATTGAGAAGTCTGGTGACATTTCCACCATTGCCAACAACCTCACTGCCGTCATCCCCTCCGGAATCAAGGTTGACGAGCGCTTCACCCCTGTCGTCAACTACATTGGCGCCATTGGTGGTCAGCTCATCGACGAGAAGGACTACGAGCCTCTCAACTGGCAGGCCAATGCCGGCCCCTTTGTCGCCGTCCTTGTTGGCGACGAGAAGGCCAAGGATGTCACTGAAGAACTCCGCAGGAGGTCCCTCCCCGGTGCCGCTGCCGAGCGCCTCGTCGAGCCCGATGAGGAGGAGGGCGAGGATCTCTGCAACTGCACATTCAACTTGGCCTACGGTGCTAAGATCCTGCTCAACCAGACTCACCTTCGGCTGAAGCGTGGTCAGCGTTACGGTCTTCTCGGACCCAACGGTTCCGGAAAAACCACTCTCATGCGTGCCATCAACAACGAGCAAGTCGAGGGTTTCCCCAAGCAGAACGAGGTCAAGACCGTCTACGTCGAGCACGACTTGGACTCTGCTGACACTGAGATGACCGTTCTTGGCTGGACCATGAACAAGCTCAAGGCTGTCGGTATCGACAAGCCCGAGGAGGAGGTCAAGACCACCCTCAACGAGTTCGGTTTCTCCGACGCCATGTACAACGGTGGCATTGGTGCGCTCTCTGGTGGATGGAAGATGAAGCTCGCGCTTGCTCGTGCCGTTTTCGAGCAGCCCGATATTCTCCTGCTCGACGAGCCTACCAACCACTTGGACGTGAAGAACGTCAAGTGGCTCGAGGACTACCTCACCAGCTCTCCTTGCACATCCATTGTCATTTCCCACGACAGCAAGTTCTTGAACAACGTCATCCAGCACGTCATCCACTATGAGCGCTTCAAGCTCAAGCGT